AGGTCCTGGGTTTGAATACTGCCTCCAACATTGGCTTATAAATTCCACCAAGTCTAAGAGTGCTTCCTTTCCTACAGCATGTGGATAAGGACAGTAGTAACTCTGAGGGCAGAGCACCAGTGAGATGAGTCAGTCTGGTACATCAGGCCTCAAGTGTTATAGACCAGTGATCATTCCAGGATTTACGTTTATACTGTACTACATTTCATGGAGGAATCAAGTTGAAGCACCAAACTAGAATCTTCACCCCAAATTTAACCACTTGGCTACATTTTTCCTTTTCTCCACCAATCACACCCTCAAATCCAATTTCACATTTCCAATATAACCTTTCTCAAGTCCATGAGTCTTAATTCAATAGATTTAGTATGTTCATGACACTAGTATTGGAGATCATTTCAAAGCCCCAGTTGAACATACAAGGGTCTCTACTAGTCTCTGTGCTCCTACAGGGTAAGCTGGGCAATACACACAAAAGATAAACATGCTAGCTTGCCAGTGCTGAAAAGGACATCAACGAAAGATGGCAGAACATAGCAACACTTGGGTACTGAAGACCTAAGTAACATTTAGGGTTAAGACAGGACAAGGAAAAGTATTCCAGGCCAAGTTCTGTAGAAAAAGGGGACATAGCCACAAGAGACACAGAGATGACACTGTTAATAGGCTATACCTTATAGGAAGCCTCTCATTAAGACATGAAACATCATTTTCAGGTATACATGTAACTTTTAATGTTTTAAATGTACATTACAGAAATTTGACAATTATGTGTGTAAACATCACCTCTTTTCAGATGACCTTTCCATTCCCAACCGCCGATTTCCAGGCAGATCCTCTCAATTTCATGCAGAACCATACAAGGTGTTCCTCTGCTTCTGCTTCAGCATGATTCTGACTCATTCACTGTTGCAGTTACCAGTAGCCAGTCCTTACTACTTAACAGCAAGGACATACAGCAACATCTGACGATTCACCAACACTTTTAAAGTGAATTTTAACCAAGTTCCTCTAACAAAAAATAAAATGTGCAAATGACTGTATGTAAGGAGACCGCTAGGGTTTTTAGTCCAATCTAGGCAAAGATATGGTAGCTTAAACACATGCATTCAATTTCAGTACACTGGCAATTTTCTCAGAGGATGAACATTGTAACCCTTTGAGTACTCTTGGACACAAGTTATGTGCTTAAATGTTCAGATTCTTCATATACCTTCAAATGTTAAAAAAAAAAAAACCAGCACAAAGCACTCATGCTTTCCACTTCTACCCAGTCTATGACTTGATTCAGTGAGTCTGGAATACTGTGGAGAAAAAAGGTGAACACCTAGCCCAAGAAGCTAGGACAAACAGCTTCAGGGAGTACCTTCTTAACAAGAATCCTTTACAAGGGAAGTAGGCCCTTCTCAAAAACAGCTCTTAGAAATTTTATAGCATCAATGTGATGGCTGGACTTGGTAGCACATGCTTGTAATCTCAGCAACTCAAGAGGGTAAAGGAGGGGGCTGGGGGTTTAGCTCAGCGGCATAAGCACCTGCCTTGCAAGCAGGCGGTCATTAGTTGGATCCCCAGTACCAATAAAAATGCAAAAAAAAAAAAAAAGGGTAAGGGAATCAAGTTCAAGGCCAACCTGGAAAATACCAAGATCTTGTCTCAAAAATGAATAGGGAAGACAAACATGGCTCAATGCTCACTTAGCTTGATCTGATATCAAACTAAAGACCAGCTTAATTAGGACACATTTCAGTGAGACTTGTTTAGCATTGTCCATAGAAAACAGGGTTACACAACATACATCTTACTGAAGATGAAGATCTCTGTACTTTAGAGGGTTAGTCTTAAGATTACCTTGTAGGCAGTTCTTTACTGAAGAATGAATTGCTCCCTGACTCAGCAAAAGTCAGATCCAGGTAGTAGCTTCTACAAGTATGCAATACCTCTATAAACCTCATGCAACTATATAGGTCATTTGCATGATCTAGCTTAAAATATCCTGATACATCAGCTAACTTAGCCTATTCCTTTGTTAAAAGTGAACTGAGACTTTCCACGCAGTATCTGCTTTTATATTCATGGGATTTGATTATGAAATTTTTTATCTCAGCCAACCAATGCACCAATACCTTTTGTGCTCTTAACAGATCTTCTCTCTTGGTTTTCTAAAAGGTCTGATAAAATCACAGCCTGCTAACCTAGAACACAGTAGTTAAGCAATGCAACCAAATGTGGTCTATAAATACTATTTTTTAAAAGGATCCAGGGCTCCTTGGATAAATACTCAAAAAGTCTAAGAATACAAGGAAGTTTAACCTTGGAACATCTTGTCTTTCTAGAAAGCAAGCCAGAGAGAAGACCAAGGTCTGTGATAGTGAAAGGAAGCTTAAAGAGGATTCCAATCAAAAGGAACATATTAGCACCAAAAACTAATAGTTGATTTATGAATTTAAAAAAGAAAACTTAATTTGGGATATACTGGTTTCTTTCAGATTGCCAAGACATGTACTATTGAAATTGTTAAACATTAAGATGTATTTCCTTTAAAAGGTATAAAGCCCTTAAAAAAAAAAAAAACCACTCCAGATTTGGAGGACCTGCATTTGATCCTAGACATCACCAAGAAATAAAATGAACTGTTAATTCTTTAGATTACTTGAAAACCTTCTCTGCCCCTCTATAAATCTTTTTTGGAACCTTGAGGGATAGATATGATTAGCTTCATTAGACAAGGGTCAAGAGGACAACCAGTGAAGCCACCTGCATTCTCTTGTACTGGAAAAACCCTTTGAGGTTTCTGCTATGTGAGTTAAAGCAAAATATACGAAGTTTAAAATTTTAGGCACAAAGAATTGCAATATTAAGTTTCTGGTCTACATTTTTATTAAGACTTTAAGGGCTGAGGATTTAGCACAGTGGTCTAAGCATCTGCCCGGTACGAGGTCGTGAGTTCGATCCCTGTTACCAAAAAAAAAAACAAGGTCCTGTCAAAAGAAAAATGCAGGCATAACTTTAATTTAAAAAATGCTGGGGCTGGGGATTTAGCTCGGCGGCATAAGCGCCTGCCTTGCAAGCAGGCAGCCATGAGTTCGATCCCTGGTACCGATTTAAAAAAAAAAAAAAATGCTGACAGGTCATACTCCCTAACATCTAAAGTGATACTAAAAAAGCAGTTCTTGGCAGCAACACTACCTGAATATCACCATCTTTCATTAATTTAAATGAACACTATTGTGGACAAGAGGAAGGGCTAGAGATAGAGATCAGTGGCCTGGGTTTAGACCCCAGTTTAAAAAGTAAATGATCCTCAGAGGTTGAGGCAGAGGACTGCTGTGACTTCGCAACCAGCCTGGGCTACAACAAAGCTAGCTCAAGGCCAACCTGAACTGCATAGTAAGACGGTGTCTCAAAAGGATTTAAAAAAAAAAATCTAATCTTAGCACAGCAGTATGGGATCATAGCTCAACTACCCAGAAGGCTGAGGCACAAGGATGGCTTGAGGTCATTAAATCTGAGAGGCCAGCCTGGGCAACAGGGTGGACTATCAAAAAAATCGCACAAATCTAAGTTACATAATAATTTTTTAGAAATGGAAATATGTTCCAGCAATAGAGTACCATAAACGTTTACCACTGGGCATGGCAGCACATGCCTGTAGTCCCCAGCACTTTGGAGGCTGAGGCACGAGGATACCTGTGAGTTTGAGGCCAATCTGAACAGAGCAAAATCCTGTCTCAAAAAGCCAAAAAACACAAAGCACACAAAACATTTACCACCTGAAGCCTAAAGATACGAGAAGAGTAACATTAAGTCCTGATGAGGAAATAAGGAAACTACAAATGACTATAAATGACATGTGGAAAACCACAAACAGTACCGTACCTGTTTTATTATGCAGACCCTCAAAGTAACACTAACTATAAGCCTAGACAACAAATGCCACAATCCTAAATGAACTTTAAATAAAGGCAACAGGCCGGGGATTTATTAGCTCAGTAGCATAAATGCCTGCCCTGGCAAGCGTGAGGTTGAGTTCAATCCCTCGTACAAAAAAAAAAGGAAAAGGAAAACAAGCCCAAAGGGAGCAGTCAGAACAGACTATGCAAGTCACAAACCCCCTTCCACTTTTGACACTGCCAATGAACCATCTGAGAAGTTAAAAAAACACAAAAACCTGAAAATTATCTCTTACATTTTTAAACAGAAAGGAATGGGAGAAAACATCCAAAAGAATCAAAGAGCAACACTTAAGAACAGAAACACAAATTCTCCCCAAGAAAATGCCCTAGAACTAGAGAACAGACTCAGCTCTGAAGGCAGAACAAAAACTTAAATTTCAGGGCATACACAAGAACACACTAAAACAGCAATGAAACAGGCAAAATAAGGAATGGTCTTACAGAAAAACAAAAAACTCAGCTGAAGGTAGGCAAAAGGACTCAGAAAACACTTCTCCCATGTATTTATACAGGATGGGGGGGTGTATTTTCAATTTGGTTTGTAACACATGAAGCTAAAGTAGAATACATAAGCATGTTTCAAGTACCAGCCTCTGAATGTCCACATGTAACCAACAAGTCTTCTTATTCCTATACATAGAAGATGTACTATTCTTGGACAAATTGAGAAGTCATTAAAACCATTCTCTTCTTATTCTGTTGGAAGGCTGTTCCAGGCCGCTTCCACATACCAGATTTCCTTTGGATGGCAAGGTCAGGTAGATGGTAAGTCTGAATCTATCTTGGAATACATTGCATAAATATTACTGTTTATTATATCAGGAGATGGGCATGCATGCACATTAAATCCTCAGATGAAACCTGAAAATGCAGCTCAGTGGTAGAAGACTTGCCTAGCATGCATGAAGCCCTAGGGTTTCACTCCTAACACCATGAGAAATTTAGAAGGCTAGGCAAAAAAAACTTTTCTTTTCACTGTTTAACATTTTAAAGTATATTAATTTCTTTGACAAAGTATAAATGTTAAATAAGTAAATAGAAACAGTGTTACTTTATTAAAATACTGAGTTTATTTCACATGTATATTTTTGTCTCCCCACCATCTCCATGTCTGACCACCACTACACTACAATGCCTTATGGTAACATTCCATACATACTTAAAACCAAGTAAAGGGTGGAGTTCCATCTTTAAAAACTAAACAGGCATTTCAGACAACACATTCTTGGCAATGGAACCTGGACAACATTTATCAAACACGGTAGGGAAAGTTCTCACTTTGCATTATAAAAAGGATAGCCAGATAACAACTGTTACAGAAATGAAATGAGACGGAAAATTTTAACAAACTGTTTAAACTGTTTTCTTAAAGAGACTTCCTCCACTGCCAGAGATCTTGAATAGCCTGGGAGAGAAAAGAATAACCTTGGTTAACAGACCACAGTACTTCATAGATCAGTAAATTAAACCTTGTCTCTTACAACTATTTTCTATTTTAATACAAATTTGTTATTTAAAGAACTAATTCCAAGGTAAGTGATACTCATGGCATAATTTGAATGTCAAATGCTTCAAAATAAAAATCAAGACCTCAAAATTATAGTACATACAATTGAACAATTTAGGGATTAAGAAAATCAAAATAATGGAGACCAATTTGATCAATGTTGCCACAATCTCACCAACCCACACATCAACTATGCCAGTCAAATAAGAATGACAGGATGCTTCCTCCTTACTGTTTACACTTTTAACATAAAGGCACTAAATTCACAAGCAGTCCAGTTTCTTTCTGGTATTTTGTGACTTTTTGCAAAAATTTCTTAGTCTTAAATCCCATCTGAAAGGGATTCTACTAACTAAAGTCTTATAAACAATTTTCATGAGAAAACTATTGTACAAAGGGATATTATGAACACTATCATATACAATACCAATTATAGCGTAAAAATGATTTGTGTTATAACCATGGAGGTTTGAGTGTCCCTAATCCGAAAATTCAAAAATCGAAACTTTTTAAGCATCAACATAAGAAGATTTCAGATGTTGAGTTTTGGGATTAGGGATACTCACCCTGCCATTATAAGATCAAGCTATTAACGTCTACCATTTCACTACTGCAGAACTTTCATTCTGGCACTTGACAATATGCTTTCTTTCAGAGCCAGGTGTGGTAATGGTAATATACATGCCTATAAACCCAGCACTCAGGGAGGCTAAGGCAGAAGGATCACAAGATTTTTTTTTAGCTCAGTCTGCAGTGACACCTTAGCTAAATGACTTAGGAGGAAAAAAAAAAAAGACTGGACAGTGAAGCTCAAGGCAAAAATCCTCAATTCAACCCTACTACTGCCAAAAAAATAAAATACTGGTATTACCAAAAAAAAAAAAAAAAAAAAAAAAAAATACTGGTATACATTCAGTCATGTAAGCTACAGACAGGACTTTGTTTAGAAACCTCATGCAACTTCAGTTGTTACATCTTTAATTTTCCTTAATAAAAAAATTTTTATCTTCACTTTTTTTGGGTATTCAGTAGTTTAAAAAATTACATGTCCTAGACTTAACTGTTAGTATACGCAGATTTATGTTTTTATTTTCTGTCCCTGTATGAATCGTATATACATGAAATTTAGTAACCTGATTTAGCTGCTTCTGCATTTTCCTTTACAATTATGCATCTTTGAATGTAAACAAAGAGTAAAGTGCACATAGGCACTCCAAGCTCAGTAGCAGAGTGCATGCTTGGTCTGAGTGGACCCTAGGTTGTCCCAAACACCACAAAAACTCTTCAATTTCCTGAAGAATTATGAATTTTAATACTCAAGCTAATACACAGAATGCATAAGATGCACAGTAAGATTTCACTTGATTTTTACCCTTTAGATTTTTCTTATGCTTATTATGTAGAGGAAAAAAAAGTTATTCTTTGCTAATTCCTAGGAAAACAAACATGCAGTACTGCTGAACAGCTAAATGGAGCAGTAAGGAGGTACCCACTCTTTTCATTAGCCTAGTCAACAGAGTACTAAAAGTAAAACTTGAGCTCAGTAACCAAAAGCTGATTTCTCAACTACAGGCAAAAACGTGTACTGAAATTCCTTCAGTGTTTGCCAACTAAATTCTTAAAGTATTGCCTAAAGTTTGTAATCTTTTAAAAGAAACCAGTGAGAGAAAGGAAAATCAGTAAATCACAGTAAGAAATCTGAATTTGGTCACATCCTCAGAAAACTCAGTTACCTCCTGGTCAGTCATTCGGAAGCAATTCTTCACATAATTGATGAATTTGGCTTCCACTTTGGGAAGAGAACCACCCTGTTGAGGAAAACAAAAACTGAAGGTAACTATAGAAATGTTTTAAAGAGATCATTACCCAAGTCCCCAAAGATCTGCACACTCTGATATACTTCTCTCCTTGCTCCTTTACCAATGTCAATTTTAGGCCTGGAAATACTTAGGTAGTACATATCAGGACCACAGTCTTTCAAGCACCCCCACACAAAGTTTAAGGCTGAAACCATTCCAACAGCCACTGGAGAAATCATGAAATAAGCTATTATTTGAGATTTTATAGACATGCCAACACAGCAACTTAGCTACCTATCCATATCATGTACCATGTCAAGTTTTACCACAACCCCCTATAATCCAGAACCAAACATGCCCTGCTTTTTGAGAACCATGTTCCAAGTGACAAGAACCTCAGCACAACATCCACTCAGAATCAGTTCAGAAGCCACATAAAGGTGAATGGGGAATTAGTAGTAACTACAACTTGATTAACCTCCAACATGTCCTTCAAACTATGAAACTAGGGGAAAAACTTTTGTCACTAATTAAAACAATACTATTTGAGCAGGGAGTGGTGGCTCACGCCTGTAATCCCAGCACTTGGGAGGCTGAGGTGGGAGGATCATTGCGAGTTCAAGACCAGCCTGGGCCACAAAGTAAGCTCAAGGCCAGCCTGAACTGCATATTGAGACCCTGTCTCAAAGACAAAAAAAAACCCCAAACTAACAAACAAAAAAAAAAACCACTACTATTTACTGCAAACAATATGAAGTTTATATTCATCACTTCTGGAATTATCTAGTGTTAATTATCTCATTTGTATCCTGTTTTAACTAAATTTTGATGTATTACCTATATCCTTTCACACTTTAAGATTCAAGGTCTCCAAATGCCAAAGGAACTATGTAAGAAAGGTATATAGCATCAAGCTTCTTAATTGCCCCATCTCCTAGTAAATAAACCACTCCAATGGTTTATTTATTTCGTTCTAAAATTGTCACATACATTGTTCAATTCATTCAAATATTTATTGAGCAGCTAAAAGAAATACAAGGGTAATTAAAACAAGAGATGAGCCATATGCACAAATAAAAGCAATATGTACGATTCACTGAATCACAGCTGTTAAAAGAAAAAAAGTGCTTTAGGAAAAAAGACGCCTTCCAGCCCAGAAGAGGGTGTGAGTGGCAAATCAGGAAAGGGGGTTCAGATTAAAATAGAAGACTTCAGTCTGGATTGTTGATGATACTCAGTATGGACTATTATTTGTCTCTCCTTTTCCTTTCTCCCCATCTTTGGGCTTAATTTATCAGTAGTGCCCAGGACTGTTCAATGCTCCTGCAATTAAATCAAGGAAATAGGACCATATTAAAATAGGGGGGGGGATCATTTTAGCACTGTATGCAAGGGATAAAAATATATCAGACACCTGGAAGGCTATAAAAGGCTTACAGCATGAATAAAGCAAAAAACCACATTCTGTTACTACCATGTTAACTTCCAATGCACTCAGAAATTGGCCGTTTTTTTCTCAACATCCCATTCATTCTCATTAACTGAGCTCCAGAAATATTCATAGCACTCAAGATTCTCTCAAATATGATTCCAAAACATTTACACTAATTATTTTCTCTCTACTTGTATCCAGAGTTTGTTAAGGTTAGCCTTTGCCCCAAGTCTAAGTAGCAAGACAAGACTGCCAATTGCCTCCTTACATGTTTCCAGTACTCAAAAAGGGAGATCACATGTAAGTTTAATTGCATGTATCGACTGGGGATGCCTTGATGTAAAAGGCAAACAGAAATGATTCAATTTGCTGGAAAATGCTGAGTCAAGAATTTTTGTTTAACATTAACACCAAATAGTTTAAGTGTCTGTAGTTACCCAATTACTTGCAATTTTACTGAAGGCTCACATGCCCTCTGCTGGTTCTGAAGCATAACACAATGCGAACAAATATTTTCACTGATCTCATTTAATTTTTTAAAATAAAAATGTACCAACAATACTTTACCAATAAATGTAAAATTATGCCTTTTTGAGGTTAGACTTGCTACCCTGTCGGGGGTTTAGCTCAGTGACCCAAGTGCCTGCTTGGCAAATGCGAGGTCATGATTTCGAACCCCAAACTCCAGCACCAAAAAAACGATCTGCTAGCTTTCCTTTATTAAGCTATTTCTGAAAAAGTTCACATACCAGAACAGAGGCACGTAATCTTAAAAAATACAAATTAACAGTTTACCACCCAAAAATCCACACAAAAGATAGAATTTCGTAGAGTGGGAAGAAAACTAGTTTCTTAAAGATAATCACTTACTTTTTCCATACTTGCTTGCATTTTTGCTTTAATGTCTTCTACGGAAGTAGGTCCTTTGGGTGTTTTAGGAGTCTTTTCCTGTTTTTTGAAGGATTCCTGGCCCTACAGAGAAAGTTGAAATTTAAAAGGTTTAAGAATATAGCTCTTAAAACTCACCCAGACACCCTAAATTATTCTCCATTCTCCTTAGCAAACCAAGCATACGACCAGAGATACTGTTATAATTAAATCCATTCATGCCTGTTATTTGGTCCATAAAACCATGAAATTATTTCTAGTATGTTCAAAAATAGAGGGTACCCTAGTACGAAGCACAGCAGATTGAGCACAGAATCCATGCAAGACCATTATGATAACCTCCACAGGCAGAAGTTAAAAGCACTGACATCTTCTTAAGCTCCATACTAGTATATAACCAGGGTTGGAAATCTGCTCCATGCAAGTAAGTCAAGTTTCCTCAGTAGAATCTATTGAAACTAAAATTTGTTTGCTTCTTCTTTCCTTACTGGAATGTCAGCAGCCTTACATCAAGTCTATGGATATATCCCCATCAACAAGTGTGTTTTGTTTTAGGCCTTTAAAAGTTGAGTTCTCAAATTCTATCAAATTTCAGTCTAGATTCTTCCACAGTAGAATTTTCAGTTTTTCCCTATTTCATAATGAACTCTCCCTTTTAATGTGTATGTGACCACTTACTTTTGATCTTGGTGTTGATGGTTTTGAGTCTTTTCCATTCTGATTTGATTTTTGTGCATTTTTTGCTGGAGTATCTCGTATTGACTGCAATTAGAAATCAGTCAGTATCCCCCATGCACAAAAGGTATGCTCAGTTCAACTGTTTCTCCAAACTGAAGTAAAATAATTCCAAACTACAAGTTCTCAATAAAGCCCTAACTCAATTCTCAAGTATGATATACCCTCAATCCAGTTTTCATTAGCTACAAGTGAAGAAAGGCAAAAGAACAAAAACTTCCATGTTATTCATTGTTTTTAATATTAATAGTACTACTTTATTTACTCACTTTCTTCACGGGAGCTTTCTCTTCGGTTTCCTCATCATCAAAATCATCATCATCATCACTGGAAGTAAAAGTCAAAATACTGAGAACATTCTAAATTTTGAGATTCAATGAAAGAACTACAAAGCAGAATACTGCAATGTCAAGAGTTTAAACAGGCAAAAATTTCACAGGATTTTCTTTGAAGACACACAAATGTCTAGCCAATAACCATCCTTAACCATCAGGGGGCTCAGCAGACAGCTCAGGAATAAGCATACATAATCCTTAGTTCTATCTCCAGTATAGCACACACCAAAAATTGAGTCACACAGGAAAATAGTGCACCCACAAGGAGACAGTACTGCACACCATTAGGAACGCTATTACACAAAAATAGTGACAAGCATTCAGACAATATGAACAAATCAGAATCCTCACTACAATGAAATAGTTCGGCTACTTTTGGAGAACAAGCTTGGCAAGTTACTATTAATATTGAACCTGGAGTTACTCTAAGCACTTCTGCTCCAGTCAGATACAAAGAAACATGTCTACAATCCTCAGACTGGTAGCAGTAAAGATCACATTACAATTCTTTTATGGCAAGTTTTCTAAAATAGGTAAATATTCATAAATGGCTAACCAGTATTTGAGGTAATTTCAGAATGTGTTAATATCTAGTTAAGTATTATCAAAGCAAATTAATTATAATTAAAATAATTGGCAAAGGGGGGAAGAGTCTAGAGGTTTGAAAACCCCAGCAATGTAGTTAAAAACCTGTCTTCACAATACTCAAGGAAATCCCTGTGTTACATTAAGTACAACACTGCCACATACAAATAGAGCAGGTTAATTAACTTTTAACTGCATTTTTGCTACCATAAAACTTTGGCCTTAGAATCCAGTAACTGGAGGGGCTGCCTCTATTTTAGGAATAAAAGCAATGCTTTCTATAAAGCCACTATGAGCCAGCTTCATCTATGAGATATACTCCTGACCAAATTTTTAAAAAACACTCAAGATGTAAGATATACATATAGCTGTGTAATTATATTGCCTACCAAGAAAATATAGTCTACACAGTATGTTCCTACCCATTGTTTCCCTAAGGTGTCCATGATTTACTCTTAAAATGTGGTTTGCACCTTAGTATCATCAGCATTTATTTTTTATTATATCCAACCCAAAAACAACTTAGATGAGACTTAGAGACAAACCTGAAAAGCTTTTAGAAGTTACTAATTACATTGTACACCAGTAACAGGACTTAGTTTACTACCACAGCCTTGATCTAGTGCAATAAACACTGGTTTCCAATCACATTTTCAATTGCCAAGCAAAGCTCAACAGCAATTTTGAATCTCATTTTGTCAACAAGTCAAACAATGACACAAAAACATTTTTTACTTATAAAGTGAACACAATCCCAAGTATTCACCAAGTTTTCATCAAGACAAAGGTATATACTATACTCTCAGCATAGTTTTAAGGTCCATTCATTTAACCCAAACTAAACCAACTGTTTAGAGGACTCAGTAATGACTTTCCAAAAATTGTTACCCATGCATACAAGCATGTCAATTTTCTTACAATACTTACTCTTCATCATCCTCATCATCTTCATCATCATCCTCATCATCTTCATCAGCAGCTAGTTTTACTTTTTTCTAAAAAAAAAAAAAAAAAAAAATGCAGAGTCATGAATAAGATACACTGCACATCAAAGCAAGCTAGAATAGGGGCTGGGGATTTAGCTCAGCGGCGTAAGTACCTGCCTTGCAAGCAGGCGGTACCGATAAAAATGAAAAAGACAAAAAAAAAACAAAGCAAGCTAGAATATACGATCTGCCATAAAATCATCCCTACCTGTGGAACCTTGCTACCACTTCCAGGGGCAGAGCGCTTTCCAGACATACTTAAGAGTTTTACATCCTCTTCCTCCTCCTCATCTGACTCCGCATCTTCCTCCACAGCTAAAATAAAGACACTATGAAAATCCACCAAAAACTCAAAAGAGTAACCCCCACCACAAAGAACACTAGTAATATACACCACTGAATACTTTTTAAAAACAAGAAAATGGATATCAAATTGTTGAAAATATTTCTTTAGAGCTAATCCTTGTAACTAAACTTCCAATGATGTCAAAATTGGAAAACAATTTTACTAAAGGGAAAAAAACAGCTTAGTATAGCATATAAAAGTAACACACCTACTAAGTGCTGTCCACTAATATGCACAGGCCCTGAACCACACTTCAACCGTAAGACAACAGGTGGTGTGATTTCAAAGCCCCCAAGGGAAACCTGAAAGGAAGAAATTACACACTGTAATAAAACACATTTTACAGACAAACCCCATACAACCATATCAAACCAAGTAAGTCTATTTTTCCACTCTGAGAAGCATGAAAAATATACTGGGGTTTCAACCCCAGAGACACAAGAAGCAGTTGTGAGTACTAAGACAAAGTACCAATCAAGTAAAATACTCTGTACATCCTTGACATAACCTAAACCCACACATAGAATCCAACATTCACTTACCGTTGGCTGTACAGACATTTTCAAAGTAGCCAGTGTTACTTTAATTGGACTGCCTTCGTAATTCATAGCCTCTGCTTCAACAATGTGCAATTCATCTTTTGCACCAGCCCCTAAACTGACCTGTGAACCATAAAAGCAAAAAAACTTGTACTATCCGTACAGAGGTATATTCAATACCATTACAAAAAATTGTAACTTATAAGTGTCAATGAAGCAAAAGTATAAAGCCAAATGAATATGAACTAAAAGGCTGATATTTAGAAAAATTTAGTTTATTCTGTGAAAGGTTAAGTACCGTTCTTAAGGACAACTGGTGCTCATTTTCGTCATTATCCACTTTAAAGTGGTAATCTTTGTCGGCCTTTAATTCGCAACCTGTAAAAAAAAAAAGCAAATTGTAAAACAAAAATAACACCAAGGTTACCTTGTGAACTAGTTTTTCACTACTCTACCAGAAGGTAATGCATAATCATCCTCCTGGATTCTTAAACAGGAACGCACCAGACAAAACTTTATACATTCCATACTGTATACCACTTTCCATTCTACACTGTCTATCCATTCCAGTTTATCCACTCCACTTTCTATTCTATACCACTTTTTAATTCTACACCATTTTACTCTCAGCTACAACGAGAAAAGTAACTACTACCGTTTTCCAGATGGAAATATGTTCAATAGAGACTGAGAATTTAGCTCAGTGGCTCACGCACTTGGTCGTCAGTTTGGCCCCCTGATACAAACAAAACAAAACACCACCTCAAAGATTTAGTGGCAACCAATCCAAGATCTAGCTCTCTAAAATGGGTACAAACTACAGTGCAGGTATCTATTCCCACCCATTCTACAAATGAAAAAAATTTTTCTAAATATAACCCGAACACTTTTAACTTTAAATGGTTGCATTTAATAATAAACATCTAATAGTTACTGCTACATAAATACTGTACTTAACTGCTTTTGCTCCATTAACAAATCTCAACATGGTTAATCAAGAAGAAACAAGGGGGCAGGATTTGCAGGTCTAAGGCAAGAACAAAGAGGCTTCCAAAGTAGCATTCTAAGAAACCTAGATAGTGTAGTTTGACTGTGGGGTTGAGAACTAATGAGGGGAGTCTGTAACAGGTGGAGCCTGATCTTCAACTCGACTTGCAGCACTTTTTTTCGTTAAACCAAGATCCAAATACAAGGTGGCCTCCATCTTTCTTCCCCCAAAATATGATGCCTTACTTCTACATAAAAAGCACCGGCTGGAATCAAGGGTCTTAGTGCAGCTGTGATTAAGATACCTAACCAGTATTACCTATCACGTAGAGAAATTACTACCTACAGCAATGAGCCAGAAAAAATGCTCTGAGGATGTGAAATACCAACAGCACTGGATGGAAACACCAAACAAAGACCTCCAGAATCCCTGCACTACCGTCCAACTCACCCAGGACTTGTCGCCCAACAGTTCTCAAATAAACCACAGGACCCCAGACTCGGAAGTGACAAGACACCAGCGAGCCCCGGATGTGGATGTGCCCACACCCCCCGCCCTCCACAACCACGTGGCAACCACGTGCTCCCAGTAGCTGCGGCCTCCTCACGCCCAGCCGCGCCTCTCCTCCCCTCTAACTAGCCGAAGCACCCACAGGATAATTCTGTCCCCTAGTTCTGCACAACGAAGTCTAGTGAACGTCAGGCTTCCTTTCTCTCTTCCCCACAGCAACCTCGTAAAACTAGCCGGACCACCTGGGACCCTGCAATGAAGATTATCAACTTGCAACTGCAATGATTATCAGAACTCTACGACCTAATACACACAAAAACAAACCTCATGCCCCGGCATCTAACTCCTACCACAGAAAAAGGCGACTACTCGGCCAGCCGCTTTTTCACCTCAGGTCCTAGGCCTCGGACCGCTCACGCCTCAGGGTTCAGGCCACCGCTCCTCGCCTCCTACCTCCCGTTCACTCAGCCTCCACAGCTCCGGCCGCTCCGCCCTCCTCACCCAGGGTACTTAGCTTTCTCCCCCGGCCCAAGCCTCGGTCGGATTGACGCCCCCTCCCCCCAACCACCAGGCCCTGTTCGGCCTCGCTCCAACGTTCTCCTCAAGACACTTACCGAAAAGATAGTTCTGAGGCCTCAGGGGGCTCATGTCCATATCCATCGAATCTTCCATGGAGTGGTGGCACGCACTTAGGTGAGAGAGAACGCGGACGGAAGTGAATGAACACTGCTCCAAAGAACAGACGCACAGGACGGATTCACGCCAGGGAAAGGACGCGGGCTTCTCGTGCCTAGATATAGTCTCCTGAAACCTCGCGAGACCTTCCCAAGTCTCACCTCATCGCGCGTGCTCCACATCTCCCCCTCCCACTGGGTCACTCTGCTGCGCAAGCGCTCTTGGACTTTTCTCCTTTTACCTCGCCCCCCGCCTCTTCCAGGGACTTCGCGGGCTCCTTTCGAGCAAGCGCATTCGTACTCTGGCCCCACCCCTCCGCCAGCGGCGTCTTTGCGCATGCCTGCTTCCCCTTAGTAGCGCGCGCTCGCCCCCGCCAAGCTTTCCACGTCCTCTACAGCTCAGGCGCGCTGGCTCGGCGCCCAGAGGCTGCGCAGCCCCCCGTGCAAAATGGCGGCTGCAGCCCCGCCTGTACGTGTCTTAGACTCGGGGCGTTCGCGAGTGGAAAGTGAGCCAGAGCGTAGTTCAGCTCACCTTTTCCCATCCTCTAGGGCTCCGCAGGCCAACACGCAGGCGTAGTTCCCCTAAGGTTTTGGTCTGGCCTCACAGCCTCGTTTCCCCAGAGTCCAAACTTGCGGTGCTGGAGGCAGTGGACTGCGGGCTCTTCTTCGGCAAGACTTAACTGTGTTTTCATGGCTCTTTCTGAGAAGCGTGTCTAAAGCCAGAGTTCTCACTTTTACGTCATTTGGGACCAAAGAGGGACTGAGCTAGTTTCCAAAGAGCAGAATACCATTAAATTTTGTTCAGGATGTGGCCTTTGAGAAAGTACAGTTATTTTTTTATTTTTATTTTATTTTTGTCTTGTTGAGACGGGGTCTCGCTGTTCAGTTCAGGCTGGTCTTGAGCTCACTTTGTAGCCCAGGCTGGTCTCCAACTCTCAAGGATCCTCCCACCTCAGCCTCCCAAGTGCTGTGATTACAGGCATGAGCCACCACGCCCGGCTTATTTATCATTCTTAATGAAAGGACTAAACGCTTTGTGAGAAATACATAGGCCTTAAGTCGAATACTCACTGTCTTAAAAGTCAAAATGACTGTGATAAACATTGAATCAATTCTGGACAAGAAGACAGTCATGGCCTTACAATTAGAGACAGAGAAAAAAGACCTGGAGAACTGTTTGAGAACATGGCAAGAACCCATGAAATGAGTGTATCTGAAGGAAAAGGGAGTATTTTCATGGGGGATTAATGGCAATCTTTTTCACCGTAATTTTTAAAATTTTAAGCATTGGCCATATTTTTCCATCACGCTACATATTATTTTTATCTTTTTAATCTGGTTTATCTTTCCAAAACATAATATACACAGGTTCACTTTTTAGGAGTTGCATGGTATTCCATGAGGTGAACATGTGTATAATTTATCACCAGGATTTTAAACGTATTCTTAATTTGTTGTTGCTTTCGTTTGTTGTCTTTTTTTTTCTTTTTCTTTTTCTTGGTACCAGGGACAAACTCATGAAACGCCTGCTTGCAAGGCAGGTGCTTATGCCGCTGAGCTAAATCCCCAAACCCGTTTGTTGTCTTTTTGAGACAAGGTCTCACTATGCAGTTAAGGCTGGCCTTGAGCTCACTTTGTAATCCAGGCTGGGCTTGAATTCACCAGGATTTTCCTGCCTCAGCTTTCTGAGTGCTGAGATTACAGGCATGAACCACCACACCAGGCCTATAAAATATTCTTAATTTTAAATGAAGGCTGTGTACACGTTTTATGTAGAAATGATTATGGACAAAAATAGAATCCTGTGTTAAATACTGATCTTCACTTACCATGCTGTACATGTCAACAATCTTGTCTCGTGTATACTCTACCATCTACAGATTTTGATATCTTGGGATGGAGGTGGTTCTGGAACTAGTCTCTTGTGGATGCTAAGAAACAACCATGTATCTGTATTTCATAATATGCCACATCACCATAAGGAAATATATAAGGACATGCCAATGCTAGTGGTTAATACCCATTCCACTGTATATATATTATAAAATATTATGACATACACCATAAATATACACATTTTAGTCAATTAAAAATCAAGCATATAAGTATTTCTTCTCGATAGGTGGTGTACATATTTCTGTGTTCGTATATAGTTGCATGCTTGATTTCTCTTGGATAAGTATATAGGAGTGAAAGTCTAGGTTATCTGGGAAAGCTATATTCTTTTTGTTTGCTTACTTTTTGTTTTTTGTACCAGGAATCAAACCCAGGACCTTGTACTTGCCAGGCTGGCACTTATGCCACTGAGCTATGTCTCTGGCCCTGGGGAATTTATGATTAACTTTGAGAAACTGCCAAACTGTTTTCCAAAGTTATGCCCCTGACCATTGCCACCAGCAGTGTATAAGAATTGCAGTTCTTGGGCTGGGGATTTAGCTCAGTGGCTTAAACACCTGCATGGCAAGTCCAAGGTCATGAGTTTGATCCCCAGCACCAAAAAAAAGAATTGCAGTTCTTACACGTTGTCACCAATATTTAAGTTTAGACATTCTCATAAGTATATAGTAGTGTCTTCTTGTTTTAATTAACATGTCCCTAAATAACTAATGATAGCATCTTTTTGTGCTTATTTTCTGTATATATATATATATATATATATCTGATGGATTGTCTCAAAATCTTTTACCCTTCCCCTGTTTTGCCCATTTAAAAAAATGGTAAGCACCTGCTGTACCACGAAGCTACATTCCTGCATCTGCTCCCCACTCCATTTTGTGATTATTGAAGTTTTTGGAGGTCTCTTTGTGTTTCTAGATTCAAATCCTTTATCTTCTTTGTGATTTGTAAATATTTTCATGGTATGTGACTTGTCTTTTCATTCCCTTCACAGTATCCTTTAAAGAGTAGAACATTTTAATTTTGATGAAGTCCTGTTCTTTAATTTTTTTCTTTTATGGAACATGTTTTAGTGTAGCATCTTTGCCTACCAATGGGCAAAAAATAATAATTCTCCCTTTTTAGATTTTGTTTTGTTTTTTGAGAAATAGTTTTGTGCACTTGAATTATCTATCTATCCTAAAGATTAGGCCATGAACTTTAAAACCAGTGCTTCTGCCTCAGCCTTCTGAGTGCTGACATTATAAGCGTGTGCTGCCATATCTAGCTTCCTCTACTTTTTTTACAAGTTTTTTTTATTTTTGTAGTTTGAAGATGTTACCTCACTGTCTTTAGGGTTGTTGTAGGTTTTTTCTCTCTCTTGTGGTACTAGAGATCAAATCTAGGGTCTCACATATGTTGGGCAAACTCTGTAGGGCAGAACTACTTCTTCAGGGTGGTTTATGTATTTTTCATAACCGCGTCAGCAGTCACTTGTGTGTTTGTTCCTCTCAGTATAATGCTTTTATCTTCAACTGCTTTCAAGGGTTTCTCTCATTTTAAGGATTCTGATTAAATGTGTCTTGGAGTAGTTCTCTTCATGTCTTTCTTTTTCTTTTCTCCTCCCCCCCGCCTTTTTTTTTTTTTTTTTGGTTTTGCAGTACTGTGCATTTGAACCCAGCGCCTCACTATAGAGCTACACCATCAGTCTGTTATTTTGTTTTATTTATTTGAATTTATCTTTTTTTTTTTTTTGCTCTTTTTGAGATAGGGTCTTGCTATGCAGTTCAGGCTGGCCTTGGGCTCACTTTGTAGCCCAGACTGGTTTTAAACTTGCAACAATCTGCCTGCATCAGCTTCCCAAATGCTGGGATTACAGGAGTGTGCCACCATGCCCAGATCTATTTTATTTTGAGACAAGCTCACTGTAAGTTACTAAACTGCCCAGGCTGGCCTTGAAGTTGTGATCTTCCTCATCCTCTGAGAGTGCTGGGATTGCAGGTATGTGCCCCTACATCTGGCTCCTTCATGTTTCTTGTATCTGCAGATTCACAGTGTTTCTTGGATAGTAGACATATAGTTTCCATCAAATTTGGAATATTTTAAGCTACTATTATTTCTCCTTTGTCTTGTCTTCTGAAGGGTGCCTCTCTTTGTTTTTGTTTTTCTAGCCATATTGCCCAAGATCACTCCAAACTCCTGGGATCAACTGACCCTCCTGTCTCAGCCTCCTAAATAGCTGGGACTACACATACACCTCACCGTGCCTGGCTCCTAAGGGATTTCACCTATGAATACATTAGGCTGTTTGAACTGCTCTACAGTTTGCTAGTCCTCTGTTTATTTTCTTCTCAGGCTTTTTTTTTTTCTTGAGTGTCTTATTTTTGATAGCTTCTGTTACTGTAGCTTTAAATTTCTCTTTTTGCTTATTATCTAATCTCAGTCCTATAATGGACTTTTCGAGTCTTTAACTTCTAGAAGTTCTGTTCAGATCTTTTTACATCATTCATGTTTTCCATACTACTACTCTTCTTTTCCACCTTTTTGACCACATGAGTATAATATCTATAATCTATCATCTGGGTTATTTCTGAATTTGTGTTTTGTTTTGGTAATGCTGGGAACCAAAACCATGGCCTCACCCAGCTCAATGAGGACTATACCACTAACCATGCTCCCAGCCTTGCTGTCCGCTTTCATCAACTGATTCTTGTGCTCATGTATTTTATATTTTCTTTTTTCCCCTTTATCCCCTTGTGGATATAAGTTTAATTATCTGAGATCAGCAGATAGAAAATTTAGAAATGAATGCAAGCAAAGTTTATAAACTTATGTGAGGGAGCCCCTTTTAGACCAGTTTAAATTTAAACAATCACCACACTGACCTATATTTTAACACTGAAAATAAAACATTTTTCCACCAAAAAGCCCAATGTGCTAAATAAAACACTCCAGAGTTCTTCAAGGTACTTTTAAATATGCTTTAAATTGTGCAAGCACATGTGTGTGTGTGGTATGTGTACGAGGAATTGAACCTAGGGCCTTCCATTACACTGAGATCCATATTAAACCCTTTTTTAAAAAATTAATTTTGACACAGGGTCTTGCTCTTACTAACTCACTAAGTTGTCCAGACTGGGCTCAAAACTTGAGATCCTCCTGCCTCTGTGTCCCAGAGTATCAGAATTTTAGACAGACATATACCACCACACCAGTTTTTAGATCTTCTAAGTGTCTAGTTTTCCTTGGTGAATCTGTCTAAAATCCCAA